TCGTGAGGCAACCAGCGAAAACATATATGATAGAGAAATCATGATGTGTATAGTAATATCGAACGATGTCTTTCAGACACTATGCAAAGTAGAAAGAGGAAAATCTCTAAAATTCAAAGAAAATTATTGAACTGAGATGCAATATCTATTTGGCAGGGAATGCTGGATAGTCTCTTTGCAGACATGCACTTTCCCCCAAACAGAATATTCTATTGTTATTTTCAATGCATGTCTAGAGGAGTGACATTCTTTAGTTCAGCCGGTCCAGACTTTCAAAGCTGAGACCCTCTAGGCAACGTAAATAGAGTCGAATCCTGCCCAAGAAGAAAGTTCCATTCTAATAGCTTCATCCCCAGAACTGCTACGTTGTGGAACAAACTCTGGTAATGATGCTGCTACAATCTTAACCTCTTTGTATTTAGGGTCAAGCATTATCTATCCTATATATCTCTATAATACGTACTTCTTAATTCATTCCTTTATATCCTTATAACAACCATATTCACTAACCCTCTACCATGAATGTTTATTTTATTTCACGTTATATCAACCTCAATAGGTTACTTAATTCTGGCAAGATCTTTAGGATATGATCGTATGAATAGAGTATTTATTAAATGTTTTTAATGTCATTGCTGTATTTTTTCAAATATTTATTGCCAGTATTTCTTTTTTCCACAAATGTATTGCTGGTAATATTTTTTTTTAAATGTATTTCTGGTAATGTTTTTTTCAAAAATGTATTTCAGGTAATATTTTTTGTCAAAAATGTATTTCTGGTAATATTTTTTTCAGAAACGTATTGCTGGTAATATTTTTTGTCAAAAATGTATTTCTGGTAATTTTTTTTTTTCAGAAATGTATTGCTGCTAATATTTTTTTCAAGAATGTATTGTTAGTAATATTTCAAAAAAAATATATTGCTGGTAATATTTTTATTTCAAAAATATATTACTGGTAATATTTTTTTTCAAGCATATATTGCTGGTAATATTTTGTCTTTCAAAAATATATTGCTGGTAATATTTTTTTTCAAAAATGTATTGCTGCAATATTTTTCAAAAATGAATTCCTGATAATATTTTTTCAAAAAACTGTTTCTGGTGATATATATTTTTAAAAATGTATTACTGGTAATAATTTTTCAATAATGTATTGTTAATAATATATTTTCAAAATGTATTGGTGATAATATTTTTTTCAAAAATATATTGCTGGTTATAATTTTTGTCAAAAATATATTGCTGGTAACAGTTTATTTCAAAAATGTATTGCTGGTAATACTTTTTTCAACGATGTATTGCTGGTAATATATTTTTTTTAAAAAATATATTACTGGAATTTTTTTTTTTTCAAAATTGCAATATTTTTATTTTCAAGAATGCATTGTTAGTAATATTTTTTTTAAAAATGTATTGTTGATAATATGTTTTTTTTTTTTTAAAAATGGTGGTAATATTTTTTTTTAAATATATCACTGGTCATATTTCTTTCAGTAATGTATTGTTAACATTTATTCAAACATGCATGGCTGGTAATATTTTATTCAAAAATATATTGCTGCTAATATTTTTTTGTCAAAGTTATTTTGCAGGTAATTCTTTTTTTAAACGTACTTTTGTTAATATTTTTTCCAAGAATGTATTGTTAGTCATATCTTTTTAAAAATGTATTGCTGGTAATATTTTTTTCAAAAATGGATTGCTGTTAATACTTTTTTTCAAAAATATATTGCTGGTAATAGTTTTTTTCAAAAATGTATTTCTGGTAATATACTTTTTCAAGGATGTATTGTTCGTAATATTTTTTACAAAAATGTATTGTTAGCAATATTTTTTTCAAAAATGTATTGCTGGTAATACTTTTTTCAATATTTAAAAAAAAAAAGGTATTGTTAGCAATATTTTTTTCACAAATGTATTCCTGCTAATTTTTTCTCAAAAATATCTTGCTGGAAATAATTTTGTGTTATTTTTAACACAAACTTATATTGCTTGTAATATTTTTTTCAAAAATATATTGCTGGTGATATTTTTTTTCTCAAAAATGTATTGCTGGTAATATTTTTTTCAACATGTATTGCTTTTAATATTTTTTGTCAAAAATGTATTGCTGGTAATATTTTTTTCAAGAATGTATTGTGTGTAATATTTTTTTTTGAAAAATGTATTGCTGGTATAATTTTTTTTCAAAAATGTATTTCTGGTAATATGTTTTTGTCAAAAATGTATTGCTGTTAATATTTCTTTTCAAAAATGCATTGTTGGTAATATTTTTTTCAAAATTTATTGCTGGTAACATTTCTATTTCAGAAATGTTTTGCTGGTAATATGTTTTTGTCAAATGTATTACTGGTAATATTTTTTTTCGAAAGTATAATGCTGGTAATATTTTTTTCAAAAATGTTTTGCTGGTAATATATTTTTTCATAAATACATTGGTGGTAATATTTTTTGTTTCAAAATGTATTATTGTTATTTTTACTCAATTTTGGGGGTTAACTAGATGCCTTGCTGCCGGATGTAGTTTAACATCATACAGTAAATACGTGGGTTTTGTGCCTTGTGAACAACAGAATTATAAAAAAAAGATACATGAAGCGACAAAGATGTGGTTCTATTTGCGAACTCTGAGAATTGTATGGACTGAATATGCGAGCAACTTTGAAGTTTTCCATCATCCTAATTCCCTTCATGTCCATTTCGTTAGAAGGAAGTTCTACTCAGATAGCTTCTTCTCAAGAACGACTGCTTTGTGGAACAAACTCCCAAGAGGATGCTTCCCTTACTACTACAATCTTAGCCTCTTCAAGTCTAAGATCAGCTGTTATCTCTCATACATATCAGCACAATTTGAACTTACTGCCTCACATTTCTGTCTTGAATGTTGGAACTACCATTGTGTAAACATTTACTTAAACAAAGAATATACTCGTAATACACAATTGTTCGGCTTTTGCTAATGGGTTTTTACTGCATTCCTCAAAAGCATTCTCCTGTACCAAGCTTACGTTTATATCGAACAAATGATTCTGAAGTTCATTCAACCTACCAATGCCCAATATACACCCTTGAGCAAATTAACTAAAACAAGTTTCCTTTTTTTCATTATACGATTAGTTTTAGACACACTGGAATGACAGAGTCTAATTGATTTCTATTTTTTTCCTCAGATTAGGTCAGTTGCAGTGGTGTGCAGTAATATGAAACTGTTTTCGTGTTGCATGATGAAATTTATTTGGCCTTGAGAAATATCGCGTCATCCGTGATTGCATCAGATTTTTATTACCCAGACACTATTGTCTCCACTGTCGATTAGTTGTCCTATGGCCATTGTCTGCAATGGACATTACTCCAAGGAAACATACGAAAATTGTAACGCAACACTTAAATACTGGCAAGCATTACCAGTGAGCAAATCAAAGTACTATAGACTGGCCAAGAAACACTCATGATTTAAATCCAGTCGCGAATCTGTGGTCTACAAACAAAGACCGACTTCGTGGAATGGATATACGAAGTACTAATATGTGCAATGGGTCATTTTTCATTGGAAAAATACGAAAGGAAAATAATGGAATTATTCGTTTTGTTTCAATTGATATGCACAAGATTGTACATCTATCCAAAATTTTGCAATAAGAAGAAATAGCATTTTCTGAGATATGGTTTCATAATTAACATAAAAATTGGATATCTATTTATATTCACAAGGACACATGCTCCATTGTCTGAATTAATCTAGTGACTTGACGAGTTGTGAATTCAATACCTGGCCACATCAGAGGGGAAAAAATTTTGGAAAGTTGATTCACTAAAGCTGAAATATCCAGAAAAGGCAAGTGGAACTACAACAATCTACCCCGGTGGACGAATTAAACAGTTCGATTCGAGATTCCAAAGTGTATCACCTGAATAAGGCCGGAGCGTACAATGACCGAAACGTCGTAAATATGACAATAAAGATGAGGACAACTGTCGGAACAATGTAAATAGTGTAAAAAATAGATTCTTGCCTGATATTTACTTTACCATACTGACACTGGAATTGAGGCGTTAATTAAGGTTAACAAATTAGTCGAGTAATAAATTGCTCATTTTGCCTCGTTGATACAGCCTTGTGTCACGCTAAGCAAAGCTTAGTTAAGAGCATTATGCACTGGAAGCCAGTGGAATTCCTAGAGACTGATAATTAATATGCTAGACATGTAGACTATTACTCGTGGAGTTAATCATCACGATCTGCTCTTACAAAGGATTTGTTCAGGGCGAAACTAATTTCGACTGACACCAGCATGAAGGTACAATCGAATAGTGATATTTAGAAATCTAGACTAGTAGAATTCACAATAGGCTCACAAAATAATCGAGTGTTTTTTCAGTGCTTTGACGCATTGGAACTGTATATTTTGAGCGCATTGAATCATGGAATTTGTATTTAAGAGGGTGAGAGACTTTCACATTTCTAATTAAAAATGTGAAGTGAAATGTAAATCTAAAAATTGGCTTAAAGAGCTTAAATTTTGTATTTTACCAATTTAAAATTCTCCCAAAATGTAAGAATTGAGGTCTAGATTATGACGTTCTGATAAATGTAAGAATGGTTTGTGGCGCCCGCGGCGGCGTAATGGTTAACAAGCTTATCTAGATAGAACATTTAAGACTTACTGAGTTCGATCCTCACTGGGTGCCCCCGACTTTCGGCCTTGTGCCACATTTAAGCTACGTTGGGCACCTCGAGACGCTGTAATGGTTAGCCAGCTTGTCTCGCTAGAAGATTTACAACTGAGTAGTGGGTTTGATCCTCACTGGGTGTCCTCTACTTTCGACCTTGTGCACACATCTAAATTAATCTTGGAAAATCACAATATAAGAAGAATGGTTATTTAAAAAATGGTGCCATATTTATAGGGCCCTAAACGGGTAACGGTCATTTTAACGTATGAAAGATGATAATAATTTTCTTGCATTTTGCAGACTTCAATTGTTGGCATACAGGAATATCAGGCTGAAACACCAGTTCTAGTAAAGACACCGAAGTTAAGCAACGTCGAGCGTGGTCAGTACCTGGATGAGTGACCGCTCGGAAATATCAGGTGCTGTAAGGTAAGATGTGCACGTGTTGTTGTTTATGGCCATATCGCGTTGAAACAACTGTTGTCATACAATCCCCGAAATGAAGCAACGTCGAGTGTGGTCAGTACCTGGATGAGTGACCGCTAAGAAATACCAGGTGCTGTAAGGTAAGATGTGCACGTGTTATTGTTTATGGCCATATCACGTTGAAACAACGGTTCTCGTACGAACATCGAAGTTAAGCAACGTCGAGTGTGGTCAGTACTTAGGTGAGTGATCGCTAGAAATTGTCAGGTGCTGTAAGGTAAGAAGTGCACGTGTCATTGTTTATGGCCATATCACGTTGAAACAACGGTTGTCATACAATCACTGAAGTTAAGCAACGTGGAGCTTGTCGTTACCTAGATAGGTTACCGCTTGTGAATACCAGATGCTGTAAGCTTAGAGGTGCGGTTAGTGTAATGGCTAACAGCTCTGAAGCGGAGATCGGAGGGCCGAGTTTCAATTCCAGTCGGGTTCACACATGCTAATCAGAAAGGTATGGATTTATCTCTTCTCTCCACCAGCTTAATTTGTTAGAACTTATATCAATAAATCATTATTATCTACAAAATGTTCTTTGGATCTCTGGTTGTATATAACATGCAAAGGGTAAAGATGTAAAAAACAAATCAATCAAAAACCCAAACATTATTTCTTATTTTTTAATAATTTCAGTCCATGCAAGGTGATAATGCCACTAAGACGCAAGAGGTTACTGGGGCTGAAAAAAATGAGAAGATTTTGGGAAAAGAAATCGGAAATCCTACCCTAAACAGGACACAAGGGATAAACCTTTTATTTTCAAAAGACTAGGCAGGAATGGCAACCAGATGATTTGAGGCTTACGACAATAGTGCCTTGAGACAACTGTTTCCGTACAATCACCGAAATTAAGCAACGTCTAAAATGATCAGTATCAAGATGGGTGACTGCTTGGGAATACAAGGTGCTGTAAGCTTGGATATGCGGGTGGTGTAATGGATAATTGCTCAGAATTGTTAAACGGAGACCCGAGTTCCATTTCCAGTTGAGTTCATTATATTCCCTTACGCTAAATTCCCTCGGAAAAGGCATGAATCCACTTCTTACCCCCAACTGTAGGTTAATTAGTATCACTTGTATCACTAAACTATTATTATCTCCATAAAACTTACTTATATTGTAAAAAATATTTACTGGCTTTAAATAACCTACAAAGTGTTGATAAGCCGCCAAAAATTGTTGTATAGGAATAAAGTATCTTTGCCGACACTGTAGTTTGAACACAGATCACCAGTGAGCAAGCACGGACGATTCCATTATTAAATAATACATCACGTGATCGTAAAAGAAAAGACTAAGTAACCGCTATTTTCTATAATATCCATTATACTATTTCTCTATACTAATCATTTTCCGAATTGCTTCGGAGGTGTGCTTGTCGAACTCTCTGCCTCTGGGCAGAGAGGAACCCAGACAAGGCTATGCCAAAAGGCAGAGTCTCGTCTGGGGTGGTAGTAGCTACCTGACCCCGTTTTTTACGGGGTCTACGGGGAATTTTTGCCCGAGTTTACAGGCTCGGATACCCCTACAATAAACTCGGCCTTGTGCCACATCCGACCGCGTGGGGTGGTAGGTGAATATCATCATTCGCCGAATTACTTCGAAAGTTTGCTGTTTCGGGGCGGCCAAGAGGATCCCCAGATTAGGCTTTGTCGAAAGGCAGATTCTCGGGAGATAGCTACCCGATCCCGTTTGTACGGCGTCTACGAGAAATTTTTGGCCGAGAGTCTAACATCAAAACAAATGAATCAACCGACGAACGATAAGCGAAATTATTTAGTCCACTCTAAGTTGACGACTTTAATAGAATTGTCCTAGACAATGCGTACCACTTATCAGTAAGCTTTTGAGGAGACATATTTGGTGAGATTTTGTAGCTTGTTAGAACTTTGGTCACAGGATGTCCTGAAGAAGTTCATTAAAGTTACTCTCCAGTAACGATATTCTATTTTGGCGTCAGAGTAAATTAACCATTTTCAAAATAGTTAACAAGGAGAGTGTATTAAATTCTACTGCAATGACGAACGACTAAGATAAACTTCTGACTTTGCCTCAAACACAAGATACCTTTCGAAGATTTATCGTAAGCAAGTTAGACTTATAAACAATAAGTAGTGAGTTCGATCATAACAGACGGCCTTTTCACTCTTCCTCGTCCAAGACTAAAGTAAGTTAATATCTACGCCATTCAGAACGAAATTTGCCATGTCCTAAATCACAAAGCAGATAGATAACTAAATCCACACTATTTACCCATCGTTCTGTAATGTCTACTCGTGCAAAGATCTATGAATGCACATTTAATTCGTACTTTCTCAGTATCGATAAGTCATTTTTTTTTTCTTTTGCGAATGGCCAAAATGCAAAAACGAGAGCGAAATGATAGATTTCCCAGCGTAATTACATTTTTCTCGCTCCTGTGCATCGGGTGTCGTCGCAAGTCAAGCCGGAAGTGTGTACTGGAATTACAATGGCCGGTGTCAGTCTATGACCCTCACCCATAGATAACTATTTTGTCCTCTTAGAATACAAAGCAAATATCAGTTTTGGGAGCGGAGGTGTGGACATGTTCATCAATAGAATTTAGTCGTGACCAATAACAGATTCTTTCTATATTTAAAAGCCATTGTCGCTTTCCGTAATTTATGATATTGTCTTGAATTATCTAAGCGTACAGCACGACCATTTCTGCTTCTTCTTGCCCTCTCCTTCTTTTCACGTTGTTCTTGCTTCTATTTCATTAAACTCATCAGCTTTTTAGCAAGCTTCTCCTTATTCTATCCATCCATCCTTCCTTTCTTCTTTTTCTTCATGTTAATATTTATTTACATTTCGCATTCTATTTCTCCTTCTTATAAGTTTGTTTTTCATTATTCACCATTCTTTCTGCTTCCGTGCCTTTCCTGTCGTCTGCTTTTTTACACCCGCCATTGTTCGGCCATCTTTTTTATTCTATTCTCTTTATCTATTGTACTTTCTTCCGTACTATCTTTTCTTCATTTCCTTCCTGCCTCTTTTCTCTGTCTTTCCCTTTCTCTCCATCTTCGATCCTTCTTCTCTTCGATGCAACTCCCATTTCCCTATTCTCATTACTCCCCCTCCTCCTCCTTCTTACAACCAGTCAGACAGTTTTGTACATTCTTCTCTTCTTTTAGTATTTTTCCTCATCTATCTATTTCAGTCTGTTCATATCTATCTATCTATCTATCTATCTATCTATCTATCTATCTGAGTGTGTTCATATTTATATACCTCTGTTTATATCAATCTATTTCAGTCTGCTCATATCTATCTATATATCTATCTCAGTTTGTCCATATTTATCTATCACACTGTTCATATCAATCTCAGTCTGTTCATAGCTATCTATCTATCTATCTATCTATCTATCTCAGTCTGTTTATATATCTATCTCAGTCTGTACATACATGTCTATCTATCTCAGTTTTTTCATATCTATCTATCTATCTATCTATCTATCTATCTATCTCAGTCTTTTCATATACATCAATCTCAGTCTGTTCATGTCTATCTATCTATCTATCTATCTATCTATCTATCTATCTATCTACCTCAGTCTGTTCATATCCATCAATCTCAGTCTGTTCATATCTATCTATCTATCTATCTATCTATCTATCTATCTATCTATCTATCTCAGTCTGTTCATATCTATCTCAGTCTGTACATATCTATCTATCTATCTATCTATCTATCTATCTATCTATCTATCTATCTCAGTCTGTTCATATCTATATATCTATCTATCTATCTCAGTCTGTTCATATCCATCAATCTCAGTCTGTTCATATCTATCTATCTACCTATCTATCTATCTATGTTAATCTATAAGTTTATCGAATATTTATCAAGTATCTTTATCCCAGTCTGTTCTTACTTGATTAGTTGTCTATCAATCTTTGTCCTTCGTTCCCAATATATCTTCCCTTTTACTCCAACATTTCCTTTTCCTCCTCTTCGCGCATTTTGCTCTTTCCGCCACATTCCGTTCTTGCACTCCCCACAAACCCCAACTGACGTGCATTCCCAAATATCTGCCCAACCCCCTACAATTTTCTCCTACCCACACCACTCTTGGCTGCCTTCTTCCTAAAGACACATTTTCTCGAATCTACTTAACCTTTCTTTAGTGAATTAATTTCACAACACCGGCTCTCATAGAAAAACCAGCAAGCGTAGTTTAAGCACGTCGGCCATGATGGACCATGGAACCGTTAACCAATTCTACCAATCTTCGAGAGGGGAACCATTCATCCTGAAATATTCAACAAATATAACTATTACTATTCCCAATTATATTAACATAACGACTGCTACTAGCAAAAACAACAACAACAACAATAATAATAATAATAGTAATAATAATGTTACCATATATGTATCACTACGATGACTGCAGAGCAATATTTACGGGGTTTGCTATGAAATCTGATAATAATAATAATAATAATAATAATAATAATAATAATAATAATAATTGATATGGCAGTAACTGCTGACTGCAATGTATCTTTGAAGATATTCAAAAAACTGTCAAAATACAAGGACTTCGAAGTAGAAATCTCGAAAATGTGGCATATGGGAACATCAACAATCCCTGTTGTAGTTGGAGCCCTAGGACTGGTTGGAAAAGATTACAGTAGACTAATTTTAGGGATTCCTGGAAGTCCATGCCTCAAGGAGATACAAAAATTGTTCTGACAAGTACTGCCCACACTTTACGAAGGGCTTCATCTATGTAATTTTTTTTTTTTTTTTGTGAGTGGAAAGTGTCATGATGCCATTTCTAATCTTAGGTCCCTGGGCGGGACCCGGAAAGAAATGTGTAAACGCCAGAAATCAAAGAAAATAATAATAATAAAACTCAAATCTCAAAAATGTGGGACATGGGAACATCAACAATCACTGTTGTGGTTGGAGCCCTTGGATTGGTTGGAAAAGATTCCAACAGACTCACTGAAATACAAAAATTTGTTCTCACGAGTACAGCCCACACCATACGAAAGGCTTTATCTATGTAAAATATGTGTGTTGTTTTTCGGCCCAAAATGGCCATCATCGAGAGGAGAAATATTTCAGCTTTCTGGTAGCAGTAAACTAATATATATATATATATATATATATATATATATATATATATATATATATATATATATATATATATATATATATATATAACTTGAAACAGGACAGACGTAATGTTGAAAGATTATGAAACACAGTGTGTTTTCTTTTTCTTTTCTGGAAATCGCGCTCGTCTAGAAATGCAATTATAATAATAATAATGGCTTGATTCAACGCTAGGCATAGCACTCACAACTACTGATTTTAATTGATTTGCTCTGTTAACATGCACGTTTTTCTTGATAAATTACGAATTGCTACAGTTATTTTCAAGTTAATACCATATGCTCGTCAGTTGTTGTCTGACCATAATCAGTTGAGCATGTTTTCTCGGTGTTGATGTACAGTGTGGTCCGAAAGTCTTCTTACCCCTACATGATATAATTTTCTATTGCAGATGAATGACACGAGCTGTTTGGAAGTGCGGTAGACTGTGACAAGACTTTCGGACCACACTTTACTACTCATCTCTTCATAAGGTACAGAAATGGGTAGACAAGGAATTTGGGGATTACGTCTACATACTTATGAAAACCCTGAATCGGAGACTCACTTAGTTGACTGGCTTATCGAACACAAAGGTATTTCTAACTCGACACCATCTGGATAATTATCCGTTACATTTACCATACTACGCGCATTTAGCTGTGATGCAAGTGTCTACTATACGTTTATCAGACTCGGTGTTATGGTGGATATATTAGACTTCGTGCATTCGTACACGGGCTGCTTTTTTTAAGTAATGCTCTCTCACACAATACTAAAATGAGTGCTAGAGTAATTAGGGGACTTATTGCCAACCAATCGTCTGTTTAAACCAAAATTCAAAAACTTAGTAAAATAGTTGCACTAGCGTACTAATTCCAAACAAATCCATTAAATTCACTTACGTGCTAATACCCTTGAGAAAGGTATGAATCCTCTTCTTCTCTCTCCAGCTCTGGGTAAATAGCAGGACAGACCGGGTTCTATAGCTGTGGATAGCAACTGATCTACCTCAGAAAGAAATGTTAACCTACTGCGGGAAAGAATCTGTCTTATCACTCATGTATCGAAAGATACATGATCTCCTAAGCGTGTATCTCGCATGGCATATAACTGACTGACTGACATGCTAATACCCTTGGGAAGGGTATGAATCCTCTTCTTCTCCACAACCCAAGCTATAGGTAAATAGCAGGACAGATCAGGTTCTATAGCCTTGGATGACAACTGGTCTACCGTAGAAAGAAATTGCAACCTAATGCAGAAAAAATCTGCCTCGTCAGTCATGTATCGAAATATATATGATCGCCTAAGCGTGTATCACGCATGGCACATAACTGACTGAGCTTTTGGTTATTAAATATATGTTGGGGGGCCTTTGTAGTATCCAACCGTCGAATGCATATAATTTCTGAAACTTTTGCAATGAAATAAAAGATGTTTAGAGTGAAGCCGGAAGAATGTAAATGATGGTCTTTATTTTCTAAAAATATAAAAGAAGAGAGAGAGAGAGAGAGATTAAACGTGTGAAGAAGGATAACATAAAAGAAAATACGTGCAAAAAAGAAAAAGAAAAGAGAGAGAGAGAGAAGAGGAACAAATAAAGCTAGAAAAATAAAAACAGAATAAAAGAATAAGAGAAAAATGAAAGAAAAAGAAAACAAAGCGAAAGATTAGACGTAAAAGAAGAAAACCGAAAACGTTAAAATCAATGTACTCCCCATCTTTCGGACCACCCTGTGCATCAACACCGAGGGGACATGACCAACTGATTATGGCCAGGAAGGATTAAGCATAGATAGATAGATAGATAGATAGATAGATAGATAGATAGATAAGAATGATCTATAAACTCTGCCACAATTATAAGATACCTAAAACCTAAAACACGTTTCTTTCACTTTCACTTTCACTTTCATACTCGTGACATTCCTGCTTTGCTTGTGATTAAATTATTTAAAAGAAAAATAAAGTGTGGGTAGCAAAGGAAATAAGAAATTAAAGAGAACGCAAAACCGGAACAAAGACTAAAGATCATTGAAAAACGAATGAAAATAATGTTGCTGAAAGAATGATAAAATGACTTAAAGCTAACGAGATCAAGATAAAGTGGCGGAGAATTTTCGCGGGGTCGGCCAGTAGATAGTGGACATTTACTGCGGCGTCCCAATAAAATGGCCACTGGGAACAAAGGGTCGGACATTTTGGACATACGAATATTTTATTCATGACACACATTTAATACTTCGCAAATGAAATAATAGAGTGATCGTTGGGCCATCGCCGACACTAAGCAGATTTTGAGCGAAACCTATCAATCAGATTCTACTTTCAGAATTCTGCTTCTGTAGAAAACTGAAATTAGATAGATATCTAGATATCAACAGAATTTGATATCTATCAACAGATAGATAGATAGATAGATAAGAATAATCATATATGAACATATAAACAGAATAATAATGAAATCTTTGTTATTTACTATTTTCTAAAGATCGAATCGATTGACTATTAACCGAGGTTTTTCCAACCATTCCAAGAAACAACATCATGAATGAATAGTTTAATTAAACTATCTAATAATGTTTATTATTTTTGGTATAAATTCTCAAGAACCAAAAAAATGTCGATGAATTCCCTTTCATATGTTTAAGTTTTATTACAATTCTAAGGATAATATTTTTAAAAAAATAACCTTTACATATATAGGTATGTATATATGTATTAAATAATAAAATTTATAATCCGATGTTCTTTGCAGTTTTAAACACTGCTCGATACAAAGAATAGAGCAATATCTATCTATCTATCTGTCTATCTATCTATCTATATATATATATATACATAGTCATACACAGATCGACTCTTTCGCTGTATCGCAGCTAATCAGTGTGACTCGTTATCTAATTGCTTTAAGACGGGATCGAAACTCGAATAATTTGGCATTCGATATATATATATATATATATATATATATATATATATATATATATATATATATATATATTCAGATGATTTAGTCTCTTTTTTTTTCATCGCCAGATACCAGTATGTTTAAATATATTTTTATTTTCAAATTGTACTATACGGGTCTTTTTATGCAGTCAAGTATATGTGTTAAAATAAACATAATATAGAAAGGCATTTATTATGTTTTTACGTTCTTTTTATAGATACAAATATTTAAGTAAATGCTTTGTTTATAATAAACTGTATTAACAACATTTACCGGCCTGAATATCCGATAAATTTTCATAGAAAATATGCGTCCTCCGACAGTAATGGAACCGTCATATAGCCTGACGTGCTATTACCGATTGAGCCACAGAGGAACATTTCGATTAGCAAGGTCGATTTTACTATTTTTAAACCACAAATCTCCATGATTTTTTCTCATACATTCATATCTGCTCGTTGCGTATCCAAATGTAAACAAATGACGTCGTATATTATGAAACGGACAAGTCCGACAATTATTTTAACACATTTTTATGTTTATATATATATATATATATATATATATATATATATATATATATATATATATATATATATATATATATACTGCGTGTATGGCAAGAATCAGGAGATAAAGAAGATAGAACTACTGCCAAAAATATGTCTGATAATCAGTAAAGGATGATCAGTTTGTGGTAACTTTATGTCTGTTCTTTTGTATGCAATGCACCAGCACTCAGTAAAACATTAAAATTTGTTATTAA